AAAATAATAAAATGCTCCGCCAATTGAAGAAAAAGAAGGAATCGGCTCAAATGGTGAGGAAAAATCAGATAGGCTAAGGAAGCAGCTGGTCATTGTACGTCCGCTGATCTCTAGGTACTTGACTGGTCGCTTGGCAGTCAAGTACCCAGAGACCAATGCAATGAGATAACGCATGAATTCGGAAAAATAAAATTAGAGGCCAAGAGAGTTGAGCATAACACTGAATTTTGGATGTGGTTCTATGTTCATTAGTACTACATTCGGACTAATGGCTTGTAACAATCTCAGTAATCCTGAGGGTGTTATGAAAATTTTTAGCATCCATATTCCTGAAAAGTGATTTCACTGTCACAGCGAATTAACAAAAATGAAATATTCAGTACAGCGTATCGAAAGATAAAGTTGAAGAAATCTTGAGGATTCTGAGAAATGATCACATCAACTGCACCGACGACGATGAAATCGTCAACGATTTGTCGTAAGCATCATATTCAAAATTCCAGTCCTCTCAGCCACATCAACATTATCGCAAATCATCAACACTGACACAAGTACAGGAACCGAGAAACCGTACCCATCGCAAACGAGCAAATAACGCAACTTTGACTGTATTCCGCTGCAGTTTTTGGTTTTATGCGCCTTCGTGTAACTAATTTATGCGTATAAAAAGCACACTTTCTCTTATACATACCCAAACGTGACCACAAAGAGTAATAGCATATGCGTGTGTGGGCGTGTTTGTGCACGTATGTGTGCGCTGTGTTTGTGCATGTATGTGTGTGTTGTTTGTGCGTGCATAACTCAACTTTAGAACAACAGGAGCAAAGAAGGCAAAATTTTGAGTACTAAACATTTTTGGAGAAAATCTCGAATTTGATCATCGGCAAGATCACAAATTTGAATTCATCACTATTTCTTTTTGTGCCCTAGCATATAGCCTGCGGTCCAAGTTCTAAATTTACTCACGGCTATCTCTTCAATTCAAGGACTACGAAAGCCATGAGTAACTTTTTCGAGTATGGTTCAGCAAATTAGAGGCGAGCAGGAGAAAATCAGGTCTGAAAACTCATTCTGTCTTAAAATACAGCAAATTCCAAATTTAGGCTTATTTTTATAAGCAGAAAACCAAGACAGCTTTTTTTAAAAAATTATCAAGTCTACTTCCGGGCTGTGCTTTGGATATCATCTGTTAGCGATATTGCTATTATGCTCCCACACGCGAAGCACAGCCACAATCTTTTTAAAATTACACACAAAAATTCGTCAAAAAATCAGATTACATGACCAAAAAGTAGGTCGCAGGTCACACAGTACTTTAGGTGACGCCAAACAACGCAAATTCGTAAATTCCATAATTGTAGCTCTCATGAATTCAAAACTGTTGAGCTTATAATAGTTGAATGATAGCGGCATGATAAATGGCAAAAACCAGTTTAAAAAACTTTAGGTTTCCGATCTCATCATCAGATGACAATAAATTCTTAAAAATGCATCAGGTAATAAGTCAGCTTCTCATGCCCTGATCTGATCAGAGCCAAATTATGGCAAAGTCTCTCTATCTGCAGTTTTTTAGCGCAAAAAAGCATATCCATGCCACTTATTTGAGGCACAGTACTTTATATTTAGTCTACCGTTGAATGCTAATTATAGATTGAAAAGTCTGGAATATTCGGCAGCGCAGTGTGAGTCATCAGTAATTATGGACACAGCAGCCTCTGTGCAAGGAGCCGCTCTCCCCGAAGGTATCACTTAGCTACTTTTACTAAAGCATAATGAAGCACTATACAGCACTAAAATCTTGAGTGGGCGTGTTCTGAGTTTGGTTTTCAAGTTTCTAGCTTTTACATTTGCGCAGTTTTTTTCAAAAAGTGACAAATTTTTTATGTACCTCCAAAAACGCTTTAAAATAATTGGCCAACGCACGAGCTGCCTGTGCGAAGACGCTTTGTTGCACAACTCCCCGCAGATTTTTGTTGCTAACAGCACTAGTTTTTCTGGCAGATGCTTCTAGCTAAAAGAATTTCATACTGATCGCCAGGACTGTCAGGAAACATTCCTTCAAAATCCCAGTCTTCTAGCTTCTCACTTTCTTGAGTTAGCAACTTACCCGGAGAAGCTTTCAAGGGCCCGTACGTAGGTACCACGCTTGCCCGCGGACAGGGTTTGAATTCTTTAATACCTACTTGGACGGGTAACATTGCCCTACGATTTCAGCATTCTTGTTTCTCAGATCCTCGAGTTATGAACTCACCCGAAAAAAATTTTGGCGTGCCCGTAGCGGGTACCACGCTTACCTGGGGGATGGTTTTGAGTGCATTAATAGTTGGACGAGGAACATTATCCTAAGATTTCAGCATTCTAGTTTCTCAGAGCCCCGAGTTATGAACTTGCCCAAAAAAACTTTGGCGGGCCCGCACGCGGGTACTACGCGGGTGTTGGCCCCCATTTTGGGGATTGGGGCCAGCACGTGCTGAAGATTAAGTTCCCGAAATTTCAGCCCCGCAGCTTTTATAGGTCTTGAGATGAAAGTGAGTGACAGACGCGCCCACAGACACTCGGACACACGGACACACAGACAACCCCTCATCAATATGTATTTTTATGCGTTTTGTGCTGTGTAACAGCAGTACAAAACGCATATTGTTACGGGGTTGTC